GACATTGATTCTGGATCAGCCATTCAACATTGTATTATTATTTCTTGTATGAATAAGAGAAGGGGGAGATAAGGAGGAGGAGATTGTTCGGCGAAGAAGAAGAGCTTTGTCATTTGTCTATGCTGGTGTACATCATCTTCTTCTTCTTTCTTACTTCTTCTTGTTCTTCTAATCCTCTCTCTCCTCTCAAGTTCATTCATTTCTTTCTGCAATTGGGCGGCATTGTACTATCTGATGGATGTGTATCTCGAAATTAGCCAGGATCATAACACTGAATTGACCTGGGGCCGGTCGTCATTCTTTAAAGAAGAAGAAGAAGAAGAAGAAAACAGCTATATCTCAGGTTAATCTGGGTGGGGCCCCGGCACCAGCGTCCACCCAACTGGGATGCTTGTGCAGAAGTCTGGATCGAAACCACGTGAAAGATCCCCTAAAGAATGTTACTCGTTCGCTTTTCGGTCATCACCTGTGCTGCTTTCTCTGTCCCCTGCTTTGGATATGGATTTGCTTGTGTTCACTATGTGTCTGTTCTTTTTAATGTCAAAAGGTGAAAAGCTTGGAGGCAGCTCTGCAGGAGATCATCAAAAGCCCAAACAGCTTGACAGCTCTTGTTCAGGTGAGGCCCTTTTATGAGAATGACATCCCCATGATTGAAAGGAGAAGGAAGGTTTCACCGTTTCTTGGTTTCCTTCCCTCCACCTCCTCTCTCCCCTTCTGTATCCGTTTATTCCAGGAAGAAGAGCAGAGTGACATGAGTTAAGCCACAAACGAAAGGAGAAGGGAATTATTCCACTCACACCTCTCACCTGCTTTACTGGTGTCATTGTATCGTTTACTTTTGTGGTGTTGAATTCATTTCTTTATGCCAATATGCGGTACCCCAAGAGGCCATAATATTTTGAAACTAAGAAGATGCCGATGTTTCAAAACCCTGGAGAGGAAGACATTGTTCCCAAGAAAATGTTGGGTACACAGTTTCCAGACCAACCAAGTTCTTCTCTCTTTCTTGTGGTGGTGGTTGCCTTTGTGGCCCGTCGGACTCAGCTGTAGTCAGTTGTAGTGCAGCCATGGGGTTTTGCATATAGGCTTGGTAGGCCAATAGATTATAGGTGTGGACTAGGCTGGGTGTCAAGTTCTTGGCCAAAACTGGTGCCAGTCAGTTCGCCAATTCATTCTGGATATTTTAAGCAAGAGGGGAGCGTTTTTGGAACTTTTTGCTCATTAACTTGTGGTGGCCAGATGAGATTGAAGCCATGTACTAGAGCTCAGTCGCAAAGCATTGCTACAGTCATGAGACTTGAACATTTGTTCCTCGTTTGTTGTATTTTGCTCCCAGCTGTCTGGCACTGAGGTGGGCATAATTTTCAATCAGTCTCATCAAATTTCTGGCTGTGAAAGGCCTTCCTCGATTCAGACCCCAAATTCGGGTCTCGGGGCCAGAGGCCCTGGCCAAGAAAGGTCGAGTTAGTCAATTTCAGAAAGGTCACAGTCGGGTACCTTAGCAGTCCAGTCCAACAGGCACCCAGCAAACAGTCACATCTTAGAGGCAAAAATCATGTCTCATAATGAAAAGTGATATTGAAGAGTCACATCCCACGAGTAAAAGGGCAGTTCCACAGGCAAGAGTCGTGCCCCAGAGGCAGGAGTCACAGTCCACAGTCAAAACCATATGCCAAAATCGAAAAGTCATGACTCAAAGGCCCAAGCAGCAGCAGACCAATGGAAATTTGGGAAGGTTCCAGGCCTTGACATTCGAAAGCAGACAGGCCGTGGGGATGTGGTACCGGAACCCAGTCAGGCCCCAAGAAGCAGAGACTGGCACGAGTTGAAGTGCAATCCAAGACTACAAAAGGACTGGCCAGCCTCCTCATTAGGCAGATAGCTCATTCGCATGAAGTGTGGAAGTGCTGGTGCACTTGTGCGCTATTGTGAGGGGCAGAGCGCTGAAGCCAGAGTGCTACGCTGAGAGAGAGAGAGAGAGGGAGAGACAGCGCTGGCAGGGCGAAGGCAGCCATAACTGCACCAGTGCAGGGTGTTAGTGCTAGTAGTTAGTAGTAGTCTTCAGAGGGGTTAGTAGAGTTGACAGTGGGTGTATTCAGAGTTGGTCCTTGAGTAGTAGAGAGAGTGTGAGTGCATGTAGATACGGAGAAACAGGGAGGTAAAGACAGAGAGAAGACCAAGAGACGAAGAAGAGAGAAGAGCTTCGGGGAAGTTACATACCTGAGTGGAGATTCTGGATACTTGGGGTTGCGCTGTTGAGTGCCTGTGACCGAAACTCTTAATTGTTTATATGATAATTTGTTGGAACTTGGAATTCTAAAGCTGCGCTACCTGGTCTTCATCTCTCTGGCCTCCAGTGTGAACAATTTGTGATCTCATACATGCATGTGGTGTGATTGTGTGCGCTCACTGGTGTTGAACTAAGAGGCTCGTTGCAGCTGTATATGTCGAGGAACGAGTTTTTGCCACTTTCCGAGTGTCCAATCAATCGTTTGCAATTTATTTTTATTTTTATTTTTAATAAACAGCATTGATTGCTTCCTGTGGGAAGGATGTACCACCCCGCACCGGTGCCTAAACTGGCCTCAACGACTTACTCTTGGAGCTGGTTGGCTCTGGGGTCCTGGACTTACATCAGTACTTACTACTTATTAATTGGGACCTGAGACGTACTTGCTCCTCTCGGCCACTGAGCCGTCAGCTACACCTGGAAAACTAGAGTAATACCGTACTTCTGATTTCTGACTCTCCCTCCTTGGCGGATTCCGCTGCTACCCTAAACCCCGAATGACCATGGGTGCTGCCGCCCTTGGTCCAGCTATCTAGACTGTGGTCAAGACATGAGCCAGTTGTTGAGCTGCAGTTCCCCTTTGGAGTTGAGCGAGACCAGCTATCTAGACTGTGGTCATTTTGCACGCCCTCGCGCATCCTCTCGGACAGAAAGGACCCCAGAAAACGACAAAAGAGGTTGACACATGCGAAACCACACCCAGGGGCCAAAAAAAAACAAAAAAACACAGAGCTGTATCTTGCCATGTTCTAGTGGGAGATTCGGCACAAGATTCATTCTCATTTTGTAGATTTGGTGAGAAGTGCAACGAGGCCCAACGTATCCTGCCTTTGCCTATTCTCTGGCGCCCTGGGAAATGACAAAAACAGTTTGAGAGATCTGCATTGCTGTTCCCCACGGGACAGTGCCCACCCGGGACCTCTTGCGTGCCAGCGATTTTTGCTGGGCCCGCGGGGGGCGTCAGCTGAGGACTGCTTTAGCCTTTAGGAGGTTTAGAGATAGAGATAGAGAAAGGGAGGACCGGCATAAAGACCTTGAAAAACGTAGGCCCATTGTACCTACCTTCTCTAACCCAGCAAGATCTTTATTTGGCTGTCTTAGTAAGGCTTTGCATTTTTTGATAAAAAGCCTGAAGGAAAGGAATTTCAACTTACCAACCACCAGTGGCCTAAAGACACGAATTGAGAAGATTAACTGAGTGACGCTGCCCGGCCGGGCCTGTCTGGCCGGGCTGGGCCCGGCCGGTTATTAATATGACGTTTCATATGACGTTTGTACTCGCTTACCTTCTTTGCCTGTGGCTCTACTTCGAAGCTGCTCAAGATAGGCGGACTCACCTCGAAGCGCTGCAGCTGGAGGACAACTCTTCGAGTTGCAGATCTCTGTGTCGGGGTTTTTTGCGTCCGCACAACTCCACGAAGGGTGGGGACGACACAATTCGACCGCGGGAAGCTGATCTGCGTCGGATCCGTGTTGACTTGGTAACCCACTCCTAATTATTGCGCGAACGAGGATGAATGCGTGTGGTGCGTATTTTCGAAGCCACTCAGGCAGCTGGGCTTCGACTCCCCGTGTAGATTGGTGGTATAACGCGATGCAACCACGACGGCTGTTCTGTGTTGAGCCACTACGTGGAACGGGTAGATCCTTCTTGGGAAATTGATCTGCCGGAGCTGTGCATTAGCTAGAGCTTGTACAACATCAGCGGAGTCCGTCCTTGTCTCTGCAGTTCTTCGTGCCGATGTCCTGCGCTGACCTCCTTCAGCGCCAATAATGATTACGTGATACCAAGTAGGGCTGGTCCGTGTTTTTTTTTCCTAGATGATCTCGTGATCTGCCCTTCGTTATTACCTGGAGCGAGGCGGTGACCTTGGGGACGTGTTGCTTTTGGAGTGCACATTTGTTCCTAGTTACTTCGTACGATTAGAGAACGTGTGAGTATCATACTGAACCGCACACCTACCTCGGACTGGCGACCACTTGTGTCGGTTTTTGAAGAAGGTTTATGAACGGGAGAGGGAGGGGAAGGGAAAAGGGGAGACGTAAGTGGTCCGGCAGCGGGAGGTATTGGATGGACCAATCGACACCAGGTGCAAATGGCTACCCACCTAACCAGCAGGCACCAAATCCTCCTCCTCCTCCTCCTCCTCCTCCTCCTCCTCCGCCCATGTATCCATCATATCATCGATTCCCGACCTTTGGGCAGCTGTACTGGGCACATATGCCCCCTCCTGGTCAATTCCCTATGCAACGGGGACAACTTAGTGGAGGTTACGAGAATGGGTACAATAATAGCTATGGGAATGGCTATGGCTACAACAATAACAACTGGAGCAGCGACAGAAACCCAAATGGAGCGTTCTTCATGAAGGACCAAGCGGAGTTTCTTGAGAAACTTAAGTTTAAAGAGGCAGTGCTTGAAGCAGCGAAGCAGCCACGGACACCAAGTTGACACTCCCACTGTCGCGCCCCCACCGCTTCGAGGGCCATGTTCGATGTCCTTTCCCAGGCCGAGTGCAGTGGGTTGGTGGACTGACAAGCTGTCACGCAGGATTTTGGTAAGTATAAAGGAATTATATAAAGGTGCATTCAGAAACAACCTTTGTCACACTTAGACATACAGTCGAGTAGTCATGGTTATCCATCCTTCCAGTGGCGACACGACTTAGAGTAAGGCGTTCGGGTTTATCGCCTGCACCCGACCCCGTATAAAGGTTAAACTAAGGTCACCGGAGTCCCTATTATCCAGGAGTCCTTCAAGTAGCCCTGAGTGTAACCTGTCCCCACCGCTTCGAGGGCCATGTTCGATGTCCCTTCCCAGGCCGAGTGCAGTGGGTTGGTGGACTGACAAGCTGTCACGAAGGATTTTGGTAAGTATAAAGGAATTATATAAAGGTGCATTCAGAAACAACCTTTGTGACACTTAGACATACAGTCGAGTAGTCATGGTTATCCATGGCGACACGACTTAGAGTAAGGCATTCGGGTTTATCGCCTGCACCCGACCCCGTATAAAGGTTAGACTCAAGGTCACCGGAGTCCCTATTATCCAGGAGTCCTTCAAGTAGCCCTGAGTGTAACCTGTATAATGAGAAGAGGAATTAACATACATGCACCATAGAACAAACGACACTGAAAGAGCAAGAAGACCAGAAACCAGACTCTGCAAGAGCATGACCAGAGATGCGAGCCTAAAGAGTAGTACACAAGGAATGCATGGAGCAGCCATTGGAGGGCTGCAGTCACTGATAAATCATAATAATGTCATAATACATCACAATGACTAAAGGAAAAGAGTCTCAGTCAATAATGATAAGTGGTACCCC